ATGGGGTGCACCCCGCCAAGCCCCACCCCGCCCCACAACGAGCAGCACCGCTCAATCTGAGAAATCAGCACTACCGCATCAACTCGGAAGAGTCGAACACGCGAGAAGTATGCTCAGCCACAACCGCCCCTCCGCCCAGCGCGCCCAGCGCGCCCAGCGCATAGGGAAGGTTTAGGCCCCTTAATAGTGACGTTTGGGTATGTCTTTCTAATCTCCACGGAGAAATCTTGATGCGGAGGTGTCGAAAGGGATCTCCCCCCCCCCCCCTGTCCAGCGCAACACCCATTAAAAGTTTATTTCGCAGCGGCGTTGTTTTTGAGTTGTCGCCGCCCGGGACCGGCGGGGACCGGCTGCAGAGCTTTGTCGTCCCCGCTCACTCATTATACAACGTTATTACTTCCACCCCGAAAATAGCACAAAAAGTGTGCTTTTCTGCTGCGCTGAGGTTGGCGGGCGAGCGAGCGCGAGGGGGGCGTGGTGGACGCGGTGGTGTCGCCTGCCACGCCACGGCCACGACACGCCCCCTTTAGGCTTCAGCACGCCCCCGCCCCGCCCCACCTCGCCCCGCCCAACCCCATCCCGCCCCGCGCGCATCATGCGCGGTAGTCACGACACGGCCCAGCCCGCCCGCAGTCCGTTTGCGGGGCCGCCATGCGACAGCGCGGCAGGGTGAGGCGGGGCGGGGCTGCTCCGTTCGGATCACCTCATGTATTCGTAGCTCGGCAGCGGCGCCCGCCGAGTCGAGCCATGAGTGAGCGGCGGCAGCGGCGGAGAGTTACCTACGAGCCGATGACGGCGGGCGCAAGAAGGTGGTGAGGACTGAGAAAACGAGAGACAACTACCCCGGGAATTAAGTCGCCCAAGGAAGAAAGAGACCGACCGATTGATATACAGACAGGCTGTTGATACTTGTGGTGAGAGAGAGAGAAATAGAGAGAGAGAAAGAGAAAGAGAGAGAAAGGAGGGGGAGGGGGGGGAGGCACTCGAGCATATTGAAGCAGCTATATCGAGTTGTGAGCGAAGCGGTTAAGAGTAGGAAGGTGAAGAAGGCGGGGCTTCATTTGCAACCCCTCCTAGAGTAGCGTGCGATAGCGGGCGGGGCGGGG